CCGGGGACCGGCAACGGGATCGCAAACCTCGGTGTTGCTCCCGCGCCTCGCTCAGCCAGTGAGCGGGAGCCGGTCTGTATGTGGGATCCGAACCCTCGGACGGGAGCGCCGCCGCGCTTCCCAAGCGGCGCACTATCCAGTGCGCCACTGGGCCGACCCAGAACTCTTTTCTTCTTGCAAAGCTGAAACTCTCTACTCATTAGCCCTCCTCCCAGACCCCGGTAACCATCCTTCTACTTTCTGTCACTATGAATTTGATTACTCTAGGTACCCTGTGTAAGTGGTATCATACAGTGTTTGTCTTTTTGTGACTAGCTTATTTCACTTAGCATAATGGTTATGTTTTTATTTTTTGTTTTTAATAAATAAGAACAGTACATACTCTGTAGGCAACTGGGCAAAGAAATAAACAGTCACTCCATAGTTGGGTAATGCAAATACAAATGAATGTGAAAAATTATTTTAAAATGCATATTAACAAAACTTTTTGGTTATCAAATTAAAAATTTTAAAAACTGCTAGTACTTAGTGATGATACAGAAACATTAAAACAGTATAATTCACCACAATTGTAATACGGATTGGCATATCTTTCTTTTATTATTTTGTACTTTTTTTTGTTTTGTTTATGGCTGGCCAGTACAGGAATCTGAATCCGTGACCTTGGTGTTACAAGGCTGTGCTCTAACCAACTGAGCAAAGCTGCCAGCCTCTGAGATTGGTATAATCTTTCTAACAAGTGATTTGACAATATGTATAAAGAACTTATAATAGGCAGATCCTTTTGCCCACTAACTCTACTTCTTGGGAGCCAGCCTAGAAAGTAATCAGACATATCAGCAAAGATTTATGTTGAATGGTGTTTGTTACAAAGTATTTATTACATAGTTATTATTCCAGTTGGAAACAACGTAAATGTTTAAGTAAATTATAGTATCTCTATCCATTATTCTAAATGGGGTAGCAAAAGGGCTTTTTTTGAATTTCTGGGAGGGGTGTGTTTAGCTTGTAAGAGCATACTGTGAAATCTCCACTAATTTGATTTATTTTAAATGTCAAGTAACATCAAAGAAAGGTATAAGATTTATATGTATAACTATAAGAGAATGGACTTTAAAATATTGGGAATCACCAGCTTATATATGACAGAATATTATACATACTTTAAATGTTCAGTAATTTTAGTGACACAGTGTATGGCTCATAGTAAGTGAAAAAGGGATGGATGCAAACTTACAATTACAGAATGAGCTCAACTATGAAAGAGAAATTCATTTTAAAAAGACTTGAAGTTAATATGCCAAAATGTTCACAGTGTTTGCCTTTGGGTAGGGGAATGTTTAGTTACCTCTTTACACTTTTCTGTCCTTTATGAATTCTCTGAGATGAGCATGTGTTACGTTTGTATAATTGGGGAAAATACAGTTTAAAAATATACATTTAAAAGAGTAGATTCCATATATAATTAAAGATATCTCATTCTTCTAAAGAGAGTTCTTTTTAAATTCCAGGGCTTTAGGATCAGACACAGGAGGATCAACCAGAAATCCTGCTGCCCACTGTGGGCTTGTTGGTTTCAAACCAAGCTATGGTTTAGTTTCTCGTCATGGTCTCATTCCTCTGGTGAACTCGATGGATGTGCCAGGAGTCTTAACAAGATGTGTGGATGATACAGCTATTGTGTTGGGTATTTATATGATACATACTGTTTGAAACAGTTTCACTGTAAAACAATATGTCTGTCACTCATAAATATTTATCCTTACAGATGTACTGGCTGGACATGACCCCAAAGATTCTACCACAGTACGAGATCCTGTTAAACCATTCATGCTTCCCAGTTTGACAGATGTGAGCAAACTATGTTTAGGAATTCCAAAGGTAACTTGTTCCTTTCATTACTTTACAGAAGTACTGTCAAGTCAAATACAGAGCACAGACTTGCAAGGCAGACTGGGTTTGAATCCTTGTCTGCCATTTTTATTGGCCATGTGACTTAGTCTCTTGTAAATTCAATTTCTCATCTGTAAAATTGGGATAATAAAAATGTTGTCCTTAGAAATTTGTTAGGATTAATTAGATAATCATGTTAAGCAGGGGGTCTGTAAACTTTTTCTGTAAAGGGCCAGATAGTAAATATTGTAGGCTTTGTGGACCATACAGTCTTTATTGTAGCTACTTAACTCTGCCATTATAGTGAGAAAGCAGCCATAGACAATATGAAAACGAAAGAGTGTGTCTGTGTTCTGATAAAACTTTATTTTCAAAAATAGCTGGCTGGTCACATCTGGCCCATGGGCTATAGTTTGCCAATCCCTGATGTAAAGGACTTAGCCCAAAGCTGTACTTTGCATAGTAGGGCCTCAATAAATGTTATCTTCTTTACTGTTACTATTATTACTACTACTACACCTATTACAGTAGCAATTGAGTAATTTCATACGTGAATGTAATAATGTTAAATTAGTGACCTTTTAAAAATCTTAAAAACGTTAAGCCTAGCAATATAATAATGCTTTATAGAAATCTTTTGAAATATTAATTTACCCTGCAGAATAATGAGGTTTCTCAGCCTTAGCAAGATTGTTATTTTGGGCTGAATAATTTTTTGTTGTAGAAACTGTCTGTGCATTATAAGGTAGCATTCCTGGCCTCTACCCTTAGATGCCAGTAGCATCCTCACCACCACCACAACCCCACAATCAAAAATGTCTACAGACATTACCAAATGTCCCCTGGTTGGGGAAAAGGAGATGAAAATTGTCCCCAGGTGAGACCAAAGCTGTAGAGAAGCACTACTTTCTTTAAAATCTTTCATTAAGGTGATGTCTGTGCCTTCTTTTAAGGATTTAGAAAGCAAACAGGTTTTAAAACAGACCTAGTTTGAAATCCTAGATCCTCTACTTACCTGACATGTAACATTAGGAAAATTACTTAACTTCTTGTCTCAATATTTCTCATTAATAAAATGAGGGATGATAATACCTACTTCACGTTAAAAGCATTAAATGAGAGTACCTTCGAAAAACATCTAGCAGAGTATTTGATACATAATGAACATTTAACAAATATGTTCCCCAACCAGATCTCCAATTTTTAATATTGTTATATCCAGCTTTAGGTATCTAAAACTGTGTCTGTCATGCTATAAACACTCAAATAGTTTCAATCTTTCTAGCTACCTACTGGAAATTTTATCAGATTTTCTAATGTATTACTAAAGATCCTGGAGTAAAAATTTTTATAACGTCATCAATACAGATGTTCCAATTTCTGTATCTTGACTTTTTCCTATAAGGAATACCTTGTACCAGAATTATCAAGTGAAGTACGATCTCTTTGGTCCAAAGCTGCTGACCTCTTTGAGTCTGAGGGAGCCAAAGTAATTGAAGTATCTCTTCCCCACACCAGTTATTCAATTGTCTGCTACCATGTATTGTGCACATCGGAAGTGGCATCAAATATGGCAAGATTTGATGGACTAGAATATGGTAAGATGGCTGTTTTTTGGATTTTTCAAGTAGTTATCTCAAACATCTGAAAGATTTACTTATTACTGACAAAGAAATTATTGCCTGGGATAATGTTAATGATTCAGAAATGTAGAACAGTGAATCATTTTATCTTTGTCATTTTAGAATTTTACTTAATATGATTCACCATAAATGTCTCTATGTTCACTTTGCTTCTCTGGACCGTAAATATCTTGAAGGGATAGTATCTTATTTTTGTATGCTGAGTCCAGCTAACATAGTGCCTAGCACATGGTAGGAGCTCAATAAGTATTTATGAAGTTATTTTTTCTTGGTTATTTTCCTCTCTTTCCATGATCGGTCCTTGGGACTGGTCAGTCAGTCACAAGGCAGACAGAGAAAAGGAACCACTAAGGGCAAGCTCCCTAAATTTTAGTATTGGTCACAAAAATGTGAATCTGGGTCTGGTTTTAGCCAAAACTATACTTTCTGTTCAAGTAGTGTTTATCTCTTTTTTTGTTTTCAGGTCACAGATGTGACATTGATGTGTCTACTGAAGCCATGTATGCTGCAACGAGACGAGAAGGGTTCAATGATGTGGTGAGAGGAAGAATTCTCTCAGGAAACTTTTTCTTATTAAAAGAGTAAGACAATTAGTTTAAAATTCTTGAAACCTTAAGAGTAAACTAGTAGCATGTCTATCAGGTGTTATAAGGCAAGATATTTACTAAAGAAGCAAAATCCTTATGATTCGAGTTAGAAAAGGCCTGTTTTTGACACTTTTGGTTCCTGGTATCCAAAAACAAACAAATATTGGTATTCTATCTAAATGATTAGAACAAACTAAGTGTGAAGCCCCTAAGGATTTCAGCCTTATTAAACATCCTCTGGCTATTCTTGCAACATTGGCTTATTGCCGTTAGAACCTAAAGCCAGGAGTTGTATTGTTGTCTTTTGAAAAAATTAGTGAATCAACTTAGTTTTTACTTGTACTGTGTATCTGTTTGCTCCAAGAAAGAATTCTAAATTACCATGACTCCTACTTAGAATGTCTTCCATATAAGTTTATTCATGATCTTATGAATGCGATTCATCTTGCACATCACTAAGTCTGTCTAAAAGGACATGAAAAGTATGAATAAGCAAGATTAATTGTTGTAATGAGTAGCTTCCTGGAGTTTTTCTCCATGCCCTCAAAGGCAGAAAGCATTTTATTCATCTGTGCATCCCCACAGAGCCAATAGTTAGGATTATCTTCTCCAAAAATACTCTTTAATTATGTTCCATATTAAAAGACTCTTATCCATATTGACCAGATGCTTGTAATGACTTAGGAATAGGAAAAGAAAATGAAATATGAGTATTGCTAAGAAGTTTTCTAAGCAAAGACTTTTATTAGGCTAAAGATGGTACATGTACCAAATATTACTGATAAGAATCATTTTGTATATATTAAGGCACAAGTGGATGGATTATATAGGTCATTGTAACAGCATAAGAAGAAATTGAAGGAGAAAAGTCTGGAAGCATTTTCCGTGATCACTGGTTGAGGGTACTGATAACTTGGCTCAACTTGTTTGTTTTGGAAGGTTTTTGTTTGCTTGTTTGTTTTGGGTGATAGGAAAAATGGGATTAGGGGTACTTTTTTATGTCTTAAAAAGTTGGGCCGGCCCGGTGGCACACTGGAGAGTGCGCCGCTTGGGAGTGCTGTGGCGCTCCCGCCGAGGGTTCGGATCCCATGTGGAGACCGGTTCCCACTCACTGGCTGAGTGCGGTGCGGACGCGACACTGAGGGTTGCGATCCCGTTGCCGGTCCCCGGTGCGGGCATGACACTGAGGGTTGCGATCCCGTTACCGGTCAGTAAAAAAAGACAAAAAGGAAAAAAAAAAAAAAGTCAACTTATGTGCCAGGAACTGTGAAAAGTCTTAACATTTTTATTTACATGAAACCTCAGTTTAGTATTTTATCATTCTTCTATCACCTTTTGTTCAGTAAACACAGATTTATTGAATTAAGAATCCAGAGTTTATCTTTGTTTTTAATAGGCATAAATATTTAATTTTGAACCACTTTTAAATCTGCCTTTTGCTATTTGTCTTCTAATTGTCCCATCTGTTCTTTCTTTCTTTTGACCTCTTTTCCTGACTTTTATTTTTTCTTTAAATAATAATTTTTCTCTTAAATAGATTTAAAATGAGAAAAAAATGAATCATCTATATTTACCTACACTTTTACTATTTCTGGTGCTTTTCACTCTGTTATATAGATCTAAATGTCATCTACTTTAATTTTCTTTTTGCCTAAAGAGCTTCCTTTAATATTTCTTATAGTGCAGTCCTTCTGGCAATGGACTCTTTAATCTTTCGTTGATTTTTAAAAGTCTTTAATTTTGAAAGATAACTTGTCTGTCCATAAAATGATAGGTTAATAGTTTTTTCTTTCATTACTTTAAGGTGTTGCGCCATTGTCTTCTGGCTTGCATATTTTCTGAGAAGTCTGTTTGTCATTCTTTGTTATTTTCTTTATAATGTCTTTTTTCACAATGGCTGATTTTAAGATTTTCTCTTTATTGTTAGTTTTCAGAAATTTGACTGTGATGTGCATTGGTGTGGTTTTCTGTGTATTTCTTCTGGTTAGGGGTTTGTTGAACTTCTTGGATCTGTAGGTTTATAGTTTCGATAAAATTTGGAAAATTTTTGGCCATAATTTTTTCAAGTATTTTTTCTGCCCTCCCCCCTCCTTCTTGGACTCCATTTACATGTAATCTGCTTAATTAACACTTACATGTTAATCTGCTTAATGTTGTCCCATAGTTCATGGATGTTCCATTCTTTTCTCCCCCCCCCCCCCCCCCCCCCCCCTTTTTTTTTTTTTTTTTTTTTTTTTTTTTTTTTTTT